GGTCCCCGCCCTCACAGAGCCTATGCTGGGAGGGAGGGAGACAAGCAAGCACACACGCTAGTGGCCACAACTCATGTTAAGCTCTATGAGCAGGGAAGGCTGGTACCCTGGGATCATGCAGGAAGGAAACCTGCCTCCCTCATCCTCATCCCTGTGAGTCACACGGTTCAGCCGCTACTGAGTTCTCACCCCAGGCCTCATGGCCATCTGAACTTCTGCCTCTTCTCCTCCCAAGGAGGTTAAAGCTGGTTTTTCAGGACGGAGTCTGGACTTGGTTTCACAGAAGCTGAGGAAAGGTATGGAAATACCTAGTTAGACATAGAGGCTGTTGGCCAAAATTGGGAGATCCGCTAAAGACAGTAGCTTGGCAGTTATTATTATTTTTTTTTCTAGAAGCTTGCTTTTGGAAAGCACAGCCAATCCAGCATTTTCTCTTCAATCCAGTGAGAGGAGAGTCTCTTTAGAGGGCAGGAAGGCTGCTTTGTAGAAGGACCCTGTGCTTCTGTGTGACTGTAGCCAGGTCCTCTCAGCTTACATGGCCTTGGCTCCCACAGTTTTCTTTAGGTTCCAGGGGCTGGTTCTCCTCTTGTTCATAGCTCTAGCCAAGCACTGTCCCCTCCTCTCCCAACTTCCCAGAAAGTAAAGGTCTGCCTGACATCTCTTCTGCTCCCTCTTGACTTCTAGGAGGTGATGCTGCCCAGGCCTCTGGCCGAGTGAAACAAGCCTGAGAAGGGGGCTTCTCACCTCTCCTCTCCCCTTCTCTCTCTGTCTCTTTGTCTGTCTGTGTCTCTATCTGTCTGTCTGTCTCTCTCTGAGACAGTACAGAGTAGAAAAGACACACACAGCCTTTGTGGTAGAAGCCTGCATTCGACCCTGACTCAGCTCCCACCAACCCCCTTACCTCCCTGAGCTGTGCCTTCCTGCTCTGTAAAATGGAGATAAAAAGTCTTCCTATCCGTTACTGTTGTGAGAAACAGACAGGACAGTGTGGCCTGGTGTCTCACTACTCAAGCATCACACAAACACTGACTTGGCATTTCTCCTCAGCCCCCCGGCAAGTACCCTGCATTATTGTTTCCCACCTTCTGTCTTCGTAACATCTGCCGCCTGCATCCAATCAGCCAGTGGTCCAAGTTTCTCCTGACAATGTTCTCTCATTCTCCCCTCCTTTCTGTCCTCAGCTCACACCACCAGGCCCCAGGCCAGGGACTTATTTGTTCCCAAGCTTCACTTGCATCCTTCTGTCTCACTCTCGGTGTTTCAGAACCCCTGCTCATCAGCCTGAGTGATTTCCTAGGCCAGAGAAGATGGGTCATGTCATTAAAAATTGGAACTTCAACTTACATGTTTTCAGTAGCAAAGAAAACATTAAGCTGTATTAGTTAATGTCCTCACTTGGTCTGTCCATATGTCAGGCTGTCACACATCTTGCTTGGCATGTAGCATGTCCTGGAATGGGGTTTCCAGGCAACTGGCACCTCCGTGTGTTTGATTTTGTCATGTTACAATTTTGGTGGTTCCTATTGCTCTGCTTCCTGGACTTGTCTGTTGCCCAGCATTAACTAAATCAGTCCTGACAAAGCAGAGGAACGGGGACGGCTCCAGAAAATTCCTGCTAAGAACCCATGGTCCCAAGAAACTACTAACAACATAACCAGAAGCAATCTTAAAAAGCGTCACACCAACACTTCTTCTAATGACTTGTCATCAGCCAGGTAAAAGTAATGGCCTATAGCACGTGTGACCCGACATGTTTAGCAAGAGCCGGCTGGCTGAGAAGACTATGTGAGATGCAGAGTTCTGTGTGCTACCATTGGTAACAAACCTCACCCTAAGTGCCTTGAGAAGGGCCTACTGAGGAAAAGCTACACGCTTAGAAATTTTTGTAGGCCAGGCATGGTGGCACACACTTGGAATCCCAGCATTTGGGAGATAGAAGCAGATGTGGATAGAGAGTTTGAATCTGTCCTGCACTGCATAATGAGATTCTGTCTAAAAGGAAGGAAGGAAGGGAGGGAGGGAGGGAGGGAGGGAGGGAAAAAAAAGAGAGAGAGAGAAAAAGAAAAATGAAAGGAGAGAGAACAAGAGAAGTTGAGAATTCAGTTTTGTGGGAAGTCCCCAAATTCTGGCTTCAGCACTGAAAACAAAATACATGTTAGTACCGAGACACTCAAACTTTGCTATACAACTGAATGAAGGTATCAATCCTCCTTGTTCTTTAGAGAGGTCTTCCTGTGTAGACCAGGGTGGCCTTGAACTCAGAGATCTGCCTCCCTCTGTCTCTGTTTGTTGGTGGTGGTGATGGTGGTTTGTTTTTTTTGTTTTGTTTTTTAGACAGGGTTTCTCTGTGTAGCCTTGGCTGTCCTGGACTTGCTCTGTAGACCAGGCTGGCCTTGAACTCACAGAGATCCGCCCACTTCTGCCTCCCTGAGTATTGGGATTATAGACATGTGCCACCACGCCTGGCTCTTGGGATTGAATTTAGGTTGTGAAGTTTGGTGGCAAATGTGTTGTTGGCCCACTGAACCATCTCCTTGTCTCTCTTAGGGACTTCTTAGCTTAGGGATTATGAGCTCAAGGCCTCCTTTCCTTCACCTCCCTCTCTCATCGACGCTGGGGATCAATGGTGGACACATTTACTGGACTGCCACTCTAAACTGATGTAGACGGTTTTCCTTTTCCTAGTTAGTATCAGCAGGGGCTTTTTGTCTCTTTGACATGAGAGGGATGTTGTGAGATCAAGGCAGGATGTGTGTCAGCACCAAAATACTGATATCATTTCCTTGTTGGCCAATATGCATTCAGATCCCTCCTGTACATTCATAATCATTTCCAAATAAAAAGTTAATAAAATAAACAAGGCATGTTTGGTCATACGCTATATTACAAAATGGGAATGTAGCAGAATGTATACTGCATATAATAACATAGCTAAATATGTGGTATAAACTCAGATGAGAAATGACTTTATATTAATTTTATTTATTTGTCTGTTTATTTGTTTATTTTGGTTTCTCGAGACAGGGTTTCTCTGTGTTGCCCTGGTTATCCTGGAACCTACTCTGTAGACCAGGCTGCTCTCAAACTCAGAGATCCCCCTGCCTCTGCTTCCTGGGTGCTGGGATTTAAAAAGGCATGCACTACTACCACCTGGAGAGAAATTGCCTTTTTAGTATTTCAGAAAAAATAATTATTTTTGTTATTTGAGCCAGGTTCCTGTGCTCTGTCTCAGGCTAGCCTTGAACTTGAGGTGGTCCTGCTGCTTCAGTGTCCTGGGTGCTGGGATTATGTGTATAAAACATCTATTTAGACTCTAAAAATATTTTCTAATTGAAATATATACATATGTATGCTGCACACATGATATTTTGAAATGGGAATGCGTTGTACCATAGTTAACCTAGTTAATGTGTATTTGGGCTGAAGAGATGACTCAGTTGATGAAGGGCTTCCTGCCCGAGCATGAGGACCAGAGTTTCAATCCACAGTACGTAAAAAGAAAACACTGTGTGCTTCTAATCGCAGTGCTAGAAACAGGCAGATCCCTATAGCTCACTGGCCAGTCAGCCTCGCTGAGCCATGAGTTCCAGGTGTAGTGAAACACTCTGCCTCAAAAAATAAGATGGAAAGCAATCCAAGACAGCAGTCAACGCTGACTTCTGTCTTATGTATGCATCTACGTGGGCACACACCCACAGCAGCACACCCACACAAACACATACATATACCGCATACACGTATGACAGGCACAAAATACGTGCATCGCTTTGCATAGATATGCATGTCAATGGCTCAATTACTTTTGTGTTTGTTTGGGGAAGGGTGAGTGGTCTTAAAATCTCTACTTGGTGATTATCAAATACGTAATGCATTGTCATTAGTTAGGATCACCGTGTTGGGTAGTAGCTCTCTTGAGCTTATTCCTCCTTTCTGAAATTCATACCCCTATTTTTTTTTCTATGTTTTCTATGTGTGCTTGCTCATTTATGATGTGTATGCGTGTTAGCGTCACTTTTATGAATGTGGTGCAGTTTCTCTCTTACGCCGGCTAGTACCCAAATTAATGAGAGCGAACTATTATATTTTTTAATAAACTTTATGGCACAACAGCTGAGCAATATGAGTCTGTAGTAACCCTTTAAGCTAGCCTGGCTTCCTCCCAGTGTAAATCCCCAAGGTACTTGCACTTTCCGGCTCCCTCTGCTCCAGCTGCTCTCTCCTGATGTCCCTGGAACTCTCCTCATGGTCAGTCCCTTCTTTCTTTTTCTATCTTCTCCTCCCCCGGCTGGCAGAAGTCCGGTCCTATTCTCTATCCTGTTTAGTCATTGCCTGTCAAGCTTCTTTATTGATTTATCTAAACATGGGGAACAATGTTTAGATAGGAGATTCTCAGAACAAGGATTGCAACCAGATATGGGGGGGGGGGCACAGAAATCAGCATTTGAATCTTTACACAGTACACAATAACATATACCTACATATGTGTGATGTGTACATGCTACAGCACGCAAGTACGGAGGTCAGAGGACAACTTGTGAGAGCTGGTTCTCTCTTTCCATCACATGGGCTTCAGGGCTTGAACTCAGCTCGTCAGGGTTGGAGGCAACTGCTTTTACCTGCTGAGCCATCTTGCCTGTCCTGAAATTCACACCCTTTGTCCACCAACTTCCAAACTACTCCTGTCTCCATCACAGCTCTCAAAAACTGCTGTTTTCCTCTTTAATTCTGTAGGTTTGCCTTTTTCAGAATACATAGCGATATAAGATCAGGCTGTGTTTGTCTTTCTGTGACTCGTTTTTTTCCCTCAATATTATCCTTTAAAAAGCAACAAAACAAACAAAATGGGTCAAGAGGATCTTGGTGAAACCGAGGACCAGCTGCCCGGGACGATGTTTGAGGAACTCAGTGCTACTTAGCACACGGGACAACTTAACTGTGACCACTTGGTAGATGAGCTCACAGGCCCTCCCGTGAGACCTGTCTGTATTTTCATTCCTCAGCCTTCCCAGTGATTGAAAATGGCCAGCTGGAGTGTCCCCAAGGGTACAAGAGACTGAACCTCAGCCACTGCCAAGGTAAGGATGACGCAGACTAGGGTTGAGCTGGGTGGAGCAGGAAGGGAAGGTTGGTTATGCCTGCTGGGGCAACACACACCCCAGAAGGGAGGGGCATCTGTCACCGCCTGGGAGGCCTCTCTTGTGCACCTTTTTACTTGTTGGTTTTTAAGACAGGATTTCTCTGTGTAACGGCCCTGTCTGTCCTGGACTCACTCTGTAGACCAGGCTGGCCTCGAATTCCCAGAGATCCTCCTCTGCCTCTGCCTCCTGAGTGCTAGGATTAGCGGCACATGTCAATCTGTTGTATGCAATCTGTTGTATGCCTTCAAGCTCCAGTTTCTGAGAGCTGTGGGAGAGGCTAGTCCTGGGGAATCCTAAAACATCAGGACTTACTTGAGGATGCTGAGAGATCCAGGGTACTGGGGTCACCCATCCTTACCCACATCTATGTAAATCATGGCCAGAAACCCTTGCACATTCAGTCACTTCTCAGGCTGGTCTCCCAGGAAAAGGAGGACTTTCCACCAAAGTGAAACTGAAGTCACCAGCAATTGGTAGGAACCTCTGTAGGCTCCTCCCAACAGAGCAGGTTTCGGTGATTGGGTCTCCTTCCCACCTGCCTCAGCCCAAGGGGAAGGGCAGGGAGAGGTGGATGGTGAACCCTAATCCTGCCCTGATCTTGACAGCCTTGCTGACATATCTGTGGGCCAGCTGACGAGGGGTGGCCTGCAGTTAGAGCCCACAGAGGGGCCAGGCCTTTGGGGCAGAGAGAGGGGCTGAGTGGTGACTTTGCTGATTTTGGAGCTGTAATGAACTCTGACCTCCTGGTGGTGAGTGGATCAAGAGCTGGCTGTGTCAGCAGGGCTTGGGGCTGCTTCTCTTCAGAGGACTCCAACAACTGGGTGGAGAGCTGTCTGTGTGGCTTCAGATAAAACTGGGTTGAAGATAATATTATCCCAAATGGCCCTGAGGAGCCTTTTGGACATTTTCCCCCAGGGAGAGGAAACTGTTTAAGCCTTAGTGGCTGGCTGGCTGTCTGCAGCATAACTGGCCGCAGATAAGAAAGAGGGCTTGGTCCAGTGCAGGTTTCTGGCCATGCCTAACCCAGGGTTAAACTCCTTTGGGTACAGTGACCCGGAATCTGAGTGGCTGTAAAGAGAACTCTTCGCCTTTCATTCTTAGAATTTCGGTGAGTCCCTTGCTCATCCTCCACAGAGCTCCTGGGAAGGCTCCCAAGCTTCAACCCCAGAATGCCCTGTCCCTACTTCTTCACCCACATGCATCCCTCTACCTCTCTCTCTCTCTCTCTCTCTCTCTCTCTCTCTCTCTCTCTCTGAAGTGGTAGACATGGGGCCAGGGTGTGATTTGTGTACACAAGCTGAGTGCTACATCCAACCTGTGCTTGTTGCTAAGTACACAACACTGGGTAAGACCCAGTCCATGACCCAGGAGAACAGATGCCCACCAGAGAAGGTTTTTGATGGGGGGCATGTGGCATGGGACCCCCTGGCAGAGCCCAGTCCAGCCTGGGAAGACCAAGGAAGGCTTCCCGGAAGAGGTAGTACTAGGCCAGAGGACATAGTGTATCCAGCTGAAGCAGGTGCAGATTTCCCTGGCGGAAGGATAAGCAAAGGGATAGTTTGGGCAGCCTGAAGCATCTGAGGGACACAGGGCAAACAGCCTATATGTCTTATGAGACCCACCTGCTCACCCACAGGCTTGGGACGGCCTTGGATACCCTGCCATGCCCTAGGGCTCCCTGGAGGAGCTGATGAGGAACCCTGAAGCTTCCAAAGCATGAGGGGGAGGGGCAATTCGAGCTTGTGTTCAGATATGCCTGGCCACAATCTGCAGGTGTATGGGTTGGCTTCCCTTCCAACCCTCGGTAGCGTCTCTCGGGTGCCTCTGCTCCCATCACGCATCCTACCAAGGACGTCCTCCTGTCGGGCATCTTTCGGGGCCTCATCCTGCTCTGATCTCCTCAAAGCCAGAGGATGAGCGCGTGGTGCTGACGGCGTTGGGCCACCTAAATGATGCCCTGCTGTGGAGGCAGTGCTCTTACCAAGGGCTTCACGTCCAACATTGGTGCAGCGATCACAGTCACCAACAGAGGAGCTGTCACCAAGATGCTCAGAGTATGAGGGTTTGAGCTCCCATTTTTGCGGCATAAGAAGTCTGGGTGCCAGGAAGAAGCCATTTTCCTTTTTTATATGAGGATGAACAGGAGGGGCCTCTGCTGGTCTTAGGGGATCATGTGGCCTACCTGGGGCAGGGGGTGCCTGACACCCTCCTGCTGGCCCTACTCCTTCTCCCCGGCCCTTCAGCACTGTGCCCCAGCCTCCCACTTCCAGCTCCCTGCAGATACATATGCTCTGCTGAGCTGCTCAGGACCTCCTGAAGAAAGCTGACTAGAAGCGACTTGGTTGCCCATCTGACACCATCCAATCCAGACAGTGTTGTTTGCCTGCTTGCCTGCTTCCCATACCATTTGCCAGAGTCACCAAGAGCTGAGCTACTCTTGGCAAGTTACTCCTGGAGCTTTTCTTCCTCTATAAAATGAGGACACAAGAACCCAATCAAGCTACCTATAAGGTTAAATGGGGTGTCATCGTCAAATACCGAAAGAGTACAAGGCACACAGTAGGTGCTCCATAAATGTTAGCTTTCCAACTAAGAGGGTTACTATGTGCCAGTTAGTGAGGCGGTGTGTGATTTTCTATTTAGTCATTCTATCGGCCTTGCCGGCTGGTTGCTATCATGATGTGTGTCTTGCACAGAGGAGAGCTCACGCTGAATGTATGCAGCTCCCTCCCGAACATCTGGCCTCAGCTGAATGGCCATTCCTCCACCCCCTGCAGATATCAACGAGTGCCTGACCCTGGGCCTCTGCAAGGACTCGGAGTGCGTGAACACCAGGGGCAGCTACCTGTGTACCTGCAGGCCAGGCCTCATGCTGGATCCGTCCAGGAGCCGCTGTGTATGTGAGTGATGGTGGGGCCAGGGGCAAGAGACACCCTCCAGGGGCACAGTCCAGACCCAGAGTGGTAAATTTCCCCAGAGCCCATGGCCTCATGCCCAGAGCCAGTGTCTGCCATCAGCTTAGAGTTGGGCGAACGTCCAAAACTGATCTGTGTGTCCGTGCTGGGCCTGGAGGAGACAGCCTCACTTTCTGCTCCTGACTTCTCTTCTAAAGCTTTTTTTGCTTTTTGTTTGTTTGGTTTGGTTTGGTTTTTGTTGTTTTGTTTTTGTTGTTGTTGTTGTTTTTCGAGATAAGGTTTCTCTGTGTTGCCTTGGCTGTCCTGGACTCGCTCTGTAGACCAGGCTAGCATTGAACTCACAACTAACTGCCTGCCTCTGCCTCCCAAGTGCTGGGGTTATAGGTGTGTGCTGCAGCTCTAAAGCTTCTTTTAGAATTCATATTTTCTGCTTTTGTTTTGTTTTGTTTAGTTTTTCTCTCTGACCATTTTCGCCCTGTTCACTGTCCCATTGTCTTTGAAGGTGTGCGCTACCTCTTTGAAGTGTCTAGGTGAGCCAGACACTTATTCTACTGCCCAAGCTTAGCAACATGGCTGGTCATGTGGCCGCTAAGTTGGCTTTCCTGAAACTGGAGTTACAGGTGGTTGTCAGCGGCCATGTAGGTGCTGGGATTCAGACCCTGGTCCTCTGGAAGAGCAGCCAGTGCTCTTAATCACTGAGCCATCTCTCCAGCCCTGAGTGATATTTTTAAAGGAGCATCCATTTGTCCATGGTGGAATGGTGTCACTTCCCTACCCCAGCACCTTCACATTACTCCATGGCCCTTTTTGCATGCATCTCCATGATTGTGAACATTGATTGACCTTGCACTGTGAACCCCGGCAGCTCTGTTTCCAGTGACCTCTGTGGTTTCCAGCTGAGAGAGGCCCAGGCTAGCGGGCCCTTCCTCACCCACCAGAGCTGACACTACAGCCTGTATGGGACTTTTCTTAGGAAGGAAGGCCTGGCCAGAGCAGAATAAAATCAGTCCCCCAAAGACCTCTGGAACAAGGCCACCTGTAGCTCACAGGCTACAAAGTGCCTGTCACTGGGTCTGGAAGGGCCATGGGAGGAGCCAGACTCTGCTGCCACCCAGAGGTAGTGCCTGTAGAGAGCACTACATAGTTGGACCTGACATGTTTAGGGACAGGAGACAGTGAAAGCCCAGACAGAAAGAGAGCCAGGATGAAGAGAACATGTAATCAAGGTTCCCTGAGGACATTATAGTCTTTCCTTTTTCTGGTCACTTAAGTTTTCTTTATCAGACTGGGCATGATGGTGCATGCCTTTTACCCCAGCACTCTGAAGGCAGAGGCCAGCCTGGTCTACAGAATGATTTCCAGGCCAGCCAAGGCTACATAGCGAAACCTTACCTCAAAACAGAAAACAAAACAAAAGTTTCTTTGTCAGGGAATTTGTCTAACACCCAACTATTAGAGTGCCAGGAAGACATTCTGATACAGTAATATGGAGAAGCAAGGGGAACCTGTCTTTATTTTCTCTTCCTCCCCAAGGCCTCTCTCTCCAGCTTCCTCCAAGGATTCATTCCTCTCCCCGAGGCAGGTGGAGAAGGCAAGCTGGTGACTTCCTGCCACCTGACTAGGGCACTAGAGAAGTCTCTGGAGGCTGGTCCAGCTTCTGATAGTCCACCCTGGGATTCAACAGCATAGAGCTTGTCCCCACTGTAGCCCACGGAAGTGCCCACTGCAGGCAGAGACTGCACCTGAGGACGCAGGGCTCAGGGACTAGTGGCTGTATGCCTGGCCTTTGCCGGGGTGTTCTTGTGTGCCTTGAGCAATTTTATCCACATGACCCTGTGGAGAGGGCTTCCATCTTAGTTAGGGCTTCTACTGCTGTGAAGAGACACCTTGACCATGGCAGCTTTTACCAAGGAAAAGTCTTAATTGGGGTTGGCTTACAGGTTCAGAGAGGTTTAGTCCATTATTGTCATGTAGGGACGCATGGCATTGTGTAGGCAGACATGGTGCTGGAGGAGCTAAGAGTTCTACATCTGATCTGCAGTCAGCAGGGAGAGATTGCCACACTGGGCATGGCTTAAGACTATATGAGACTTCAAAGCCCACCTCCACAGTGACACACTTCCTCCAGCAAGGCCACACCCACTCCAACAAGGCCACACCTCCTAACAGTGTTACTCCCAATGGGCCAAGCACCCATGAGTCTGTGAGGGCCATTCTACTTCCAACCACAACTTCCTAGCCAGGAGTCACATAAACCCAACTCATGATGCTTTAAGCTAAAAAAAAAAAAAAACAACTTACGAGCACAAGTAGGAAGTGAGAAAAGGGGCAAATGTGACCTTGCCAGTTGGATCCAGGTCCCCACAATGCCTGCCCTTCGGGAGTCTCTTGCCGGTCCCTGTGTTGGTTTCATAGCTCTTTCAGAGGTGGCCGCCACATGCTGTAGGCTATCTGCCTTGGAATCTCAGTCTGCACATGGACACCTGTTTTCTAACAATCCAAGGCAAGTCCCGAGCTGAGCAGTATGGGCCTTGCTTTCTCAAGTTCCTATCCCTGTCCCACTCACTGAGAACTGTGTCTGAGCTTCAGTTCTTCAACCAGAAAGTGGCCCAAGGGAGGGACGGGGTAAGTGGTACCTGTAAAGAACCAGAGTGCTTTTCTATAGCTTTGGCACTCATGCCAGGCAAACCCACCCGCAGTCCATGGCGTTCCTCCATCAACACACTACACATCAGGAAGCTCAGGCCCAGGGAGACATGTAGCTCGCTCAGCAGGAAGCAGATAACAGAACTGACCCGGACTCCTCAGAATCATTAATTCTCAACTTCGGCTGTTGCTCCCTTTACCCCACTCTTGGTTTGCCTTCTAAACATTTAAGTCTCTTTCAGACTGGTTGGCCATGTCTTTTCCCACTGAGATGATAAGCAGGAAACTTTTTTTTTTTTTAATATTCACTACCTTTTGGATCCACAGGATTTGTGGGTTCTTTGGGGTTTTTGTTTTTGTCTTGTGTACATGTGTATGTGTGTGGTGTGGGCAATGAAATCCAAGTCTTTAGGCATGCTAGGCAAGGACTCTACCACTGAGCTACACATCCAGCCCCAGAGTCAGGACTCAGTTGTTTTAACTGAGTGATCCATGCATCAGTTAACAGGCAATATTAAGAAATCAATACACCTAGATACATGGACCTCAAGGCTCTCTGTCTTCAAGGCTCTCTGCCAAGCCTGTAGTTCTCACTTCATCTCATCTTCCCAGTGACGCCCTCTGTGGCTCTGAGAGCACACTGCCCTCTACTCATCCTGAAGTGCACACAAAGCCTTTAGCAGACACTTTAAAGGCAGCAGGTGGAGACCAACAACTCCATTCCTGACATGAGGGTGGGAGCTGAGGGCCCCACAGGGAGTCAATATGAGGAGATATAGGAGCATTCCACCGCAGCTGTTCCTCCTGAGGTCCTTGTGAGCAACCGAACTTCCAGGTTGAGACAGGAGCCAGGCTAGTCTCAGGGCCTCTGTCCACGGCCTTCTGTGCTTTCTTTCTCACACTGGCTACCTGCCCATTCCCACATGTCCTGTCTGTTGCAGCGGACAAGGCGGTCTCCATGCGACAGGGACTGTGCTACCGCTCACTGGGGTCTGGCACCTGCACCCTGCCTTTGGTACAACGGATCACCAAGCAGATTTGCTGCTGCAGCCGTGTGGGCAAAGCCTGGGGCAGCAAGTGTGAAAAGTGCCCCCTGCCTGGCACAGGTAACACCATCCTGAACCCAGCCTCGGCCATCAGGGTACTTCTTCAAAGCCAATGGTCACTTCCCCAACCTGGGTAGACCCCTTCAAGCTGGGAGGCTCGGACTATCTTCTGTTTTCCAGACCCTTCTTGCAGCCACAATTGTCTTGTCCCCTTCAGGGAAGTAAGAGGGCCCTGGCTTCTTACAGGAATGGCATAGTTCAGTTCACCCTCTGTTGGTTTCTTAGAGGCCTTCAGGGAGATCTGCCCTGCCGGTCACGGTTACACCTACTCAAGTTCAGACATCCGTCTGTCCATGAGGAGAGCCGAGGAGGAGGAACTGGCTAGCCCCTTAAGGGAACAGACACAGCAGAGTGGAGGACCCTGGCCTGGGACAGCAGAGAGGCAACCACTCCGGGCAGTCACTGACACCTGGATTGAGGCCGAGACCCTCCCTGACAAAGGTATCTGAGCTGGAGGAGACATCCAAGGAGCCTCCTCTTTTTTATTCTTCTCTGCCCAGGACTTCTGTTCCAAACAGTAATTCCATCTCAGTTGCCTGAGGCTCAGGATGTGTGGGCTAGGAAGAGATTATATTTGAGTTCTCTAGTCCGTTGCTCCGGAAAACAATGGGGTCATGTCCAGGTCACCCAGTACAGGAGACCAGGAAGAGAGTAGGACCAAGTAAACCAGGAGATTGCCAGAATTACTCCAAGAATCTGGGACAGAGAAGTAAGGACGGACGGAACTCAGTGGCCATGGGTGTGGGCCATTAGCCCAGTCAGAGGCAATTCATTTCCTTTCTAGAACTTCTCCCTTAGTCCGTGGCCCAGGGCAGGGAGGATGGTGGGTAACTCATGTGATCTGGACCACAGGAGGGAGGAGGTCTGTGACGATTCTGATGGGGGGGGGAGGTGAGGGGAATGCCTATCACTGGACACCTCCAGCTGAGAGGTGAGCCAGGCTACCTGTGTGCTCTCTTAGCCTTGGGATGCTGGGGTGGTTGACAGGCTGAGGCAGGTAAAAGGGTTGCGCTCTGTGTGTTGCTCATCTTGCTGGGGTACAGGGAGGGGTACAGACTGTGAAGCAGCCAGGCCATGAGTGGAGGGCAGAAGGCTGCTGCCTTCCCCTCCTGGAGCTCACGTTGCCATCTTCCTTTCCCAGGTGACTCTCGGGCCATGCAGGTGAGTGAGTCTTCCTGCCAGGAAGTTGGATTGGGACGACGTAGAGAATGACATAGACCCCGGGCGCAGTCTCGTGAGAGCAGAAAAGGAGAAGGGTGGACTATTGGATTGTACTTGGAGAGATCAGAAAGATGAATCAAGGACAGTGTGGCTGTGTAGTTAGTCCTGGCTGCCACTCAAGCTTGAGCGCTGTGCTTGAAACCCAGGGCTGGACCTAAATCTGACGGTGTTTTCTGAGCTGGTTTAACATGTGCCCTCTGTGAAGAGCGCATGGGAAAGCAGAAGCATGACTATGATGCCATCTCACTGAGGAAAGGGCATCTGGCCCCTGTCCCCGGGCCAAGAATCCTCCTGTGTATTCAAGAGTGAGAGTCTCTGAGAGCCGCCAGGAGAGTGAATCTGCTCTATCTTTCTCTGCTTCTTTACTAGTCTGCTGGTTCCTGCTCATCTCCTGCTAACCTGTCTCCACGCACTGTTTCTCCAGCGACCTTGCTTTCCTGCTTAAGAATCACGTGCTGAAACCGGGTGTGGTGGCTCACACCTTTAATCCCAGCACTTGGGAGGCAGAGGCAGGTGGATCTCTGAGTTCGAGGACAGTCTGGTCTACAGAGTGAGTTCCAGGACAGCCAGGGCAACGCAAAGAAACTGTCTTGAAAAACAAACAAAAGAACCACATGCTGTTCCCCCAGATCAAAGCTTACCCTCCAGGCCCTCACAGTCCAGGCATTCCCCAGTGCCTTTCCATCCTCTGCCATTCTTCTTTGCTTCCCTGTGCCCCATCTGTCTCTGGTCATAGCTGCAGTGAGGGGCCACCAAGTGTGGCTCTGGCTCCCGGCTTCACCGCACTGGCCTTGTGGCCCTGGATGATCTGGTTAATCTGTCACTTCATCTGTGACATAAGGAGAGTAGCTTTGATAAGTGCTAATGTTCCACTGTGGTGGCCAACGCTGAGCAGATAAAGGACATACATTTAACCACTATGCCTTATAAGGAAGTGGCGCTGATTAGCTAAGATTGTGGATAGAGAACGCCTAGAGAATGCGTGCCAGCAGTAAAACCTCGCTCACTGAGGGCGCTGGACAGGAGGAAGGCGGGTAAGTGAGGGAGAAACAGGAGAGGAATAGCAGATGAGCCCTCAAAATAACCTTCATTTCTGCGCAGGTCACAACCAGTGTTCCCCACCTACCTGCCTGGGTACCAGGTGAGTTCCTCCTCCCAGAAGCTTCCAATGGGAAGAGAAGGGATGGAGGGAGATCTTAGTTTAGTCACGGGGTTCAAATCAGAGGCGGTAAGTGATATGACATTCAAGTGCTCTTTCCAGGAGCCCTAAGTCTCTAGCGAGCTGTGTGGTTAGTAAGAGATCCCATGATGCTTGCAAATGTTTTCCTCTTGACCAAACTCTTTCTTAATCTCACAATGCCACTCAGGCCACTCACAGCACATAAATCAGGTCAAAGAGGAGGTGCTAGCAGCTTGACAGGGCCCCAGAGTTCTTTCCTCCAGGGGCCTCATCTTGCCTCCTGACCCTGAGCTGACCTTTCGCCAGAGCTGAGCTCTGCTTCAAGGATGCTGAGCTATCCGTGCTGTGCTGCGATGCGGACACGACACCTGCTGCCTCCCGGGGCATCTGGGTGCTTGTGCCTGCAGGCACCCTGTAAACTGCAAGATGCATTACGTATGAAAGCAAGGGAACGTTAAATTGGGCAGCAGGAGGTGTGGCTGCAGCTGTGCCTCCAGCAAGCTGGCTGGCCTTAGACGAGCAGCCATTTCTATCCTCCTCAGGTTCTGTTACTATGAGGGGAGGAGAATGCCAAAAGAGAGGGTAGATGGTGGGAGCCCTAGGCAATGCTTTTGGTTCTTGGGAGTCTGAACGTCAGGGATCACAGACAAGGATCACTGCCAGCCAATGGGCTCCACCCCCTCCCATCTGTCCTCTCCAGCAGATGCTACTGGAAGACCAGCACCATCATTGCCTGGACAGGACATTCCAGAGAGTCCAGAAGAAGAGCAAGTGACTCCATCCGGTGATGTCCTGGTGACACAGGGTCCCCCAGGTAGCTGCAGCAGCCCTTGGAGGCGTTTTGCCCTCACCCCTAGGAAATGGGGTTGCCCAGATCTGAACTCCAGGGCAGGGCCATGAGTGGAATTTCTCTCTTGCTCTTCAACCAGATGGCTAGTCTCCAGCAACTCTGACCTAGCTGTGACCCTGGCCTGATCTTATAGAGGGCACAAAGCCTACCTCGTAAAGACAGGAGCCCTGCCTGGCCACTAAGGGAATGTTCCTACTCAGAGGACTCCAGGGAAGCCATGGGTCTTTCTGGAGCATCTGGGGGAGGGGTTGGAGTTCTTGAAGGATGGGAGCTAATAGAGTAGGGGGTGAGGTGAAAAGGGGATGAGTCAGTGAGGGCCCTGGTGGTGTCAGCCACCTGCCCACGGGAAGGATGTTTTGGAGAAAGGACAGCATTATATAGCACAAGGTTTTCCAGCTTCCGGAGCCTGTATCTGGCTCTGTCTGGTTAGCCATAGCGATGAGGGGTGGTGTGGGGGAGAGTGCTGGCAAACTCACCTGGCTGTGGAATGTGCCTTCCACAAAGGCTCATTGTCTGAGGGCTTGGTTCAAGAGAAGCGAGGCCCGCATCGCAGTAATGTCACCACGGTTCTCTGTGCATGTGTGTGCCCTCTTGCCAGCCCTCTCTAGGGGCTAGCTGTGTTCTTAGCGAGGGTCACCTTGAGTGGGAGTGGAGGCTGACCAGAGTTCTGGATTTCCTCCAGTGAAAGGAAAATGCCTGCAGCCTGGTGCAGAGAGAGTAGCAGGTGGGGTTGGGGCCTGGCTTTCCTAAGAGTTCTCAGCTGACCTCTCCCAGGATTCAGAGCGAGTCCCCTGAGATGTCTGGGAACATCCCCTTCCAAGTAGGCAGGAAGGGCTGAGTGCATGGGGCTCAACTGGGGAGTGCTGAGACTGACAATGAAATACTCCTGGTGGAAGAGTTTGGTACAGTGAAGACAGGCGGAGCCCAGTGGTGACCCTCAGCCCTGCCTGCGGGTAACAGCGCCACCAGCAGCAGCTTCAGTCTTTTGGCTGGACCAGCTTCTGACCTGCTGTCTTCTGACCTCACTCTGAGTGGGCATCTGGGATCTGGCTAGGGACTGGCTAGGGAGCAGATGACCTTGCTCTCGGGCCACCGTGGGCATCCAGTTCAGTGCAAATTAGTGATGCTGCAAAGCCCCTCTGTGTACCAAGTTGGGCTACTTCTGACCTACTCTTTTGAGGCTTCTGCATCTTCTCAGAGTGGTGGGGCAAGGGAAGGGAGCTCTAGGATGTAGAATAAGACAACAGGGTGGACACAGATGAAAGCAGCGTTCCCTCATTGGTTCATTAATTCATTCGCTCATCATAAGTGTCAAGTACTTCCCTGATATTAGAGGCACAAGGCAAATAAGAGTTTCTTCAGTCTGTGTAACCTAGTCTCTAGATCTATCAGTCCATCAGAAGATGGACAAGAGTTTCCAGGGGTGGGTGGCAGTGGTTCTTTGGGTAAAAGCTGTGCCCACATTTAGGTTGAGGGCAAGGGTAAGGAGGTCATCTGTGGGGAATATGAGTTCCTAGAAGCCATTAGGTCTCTGTCAGGAAGATGTACTCAGGTGGGCTCAGAGTCCAGGCACAGGTCCCATCAGTCTTAGGAGGCCATGTTATAGCTTGGCATGAGAGGGCCTACTAAGGGTGGGTGGACTTCCAGTGGTCTTCCGAGGACCCTTAACCGGCCTCTGCTTTCTCCTCACCCAGCTGTAGTGCACAGTCCACTCTGCCATAACCTCTACTTGCTCCGTGTTCACAGTCTTTGATCCATGCTTTGCTGGAACCGCCAACATCTGTGGCCCTGGGACCTGCGTGAGCCTCCCAAATGGATACAGATGTATCTGCAGCCCTGGCTACAAGCTACATCCCAGCCACGGCTACTGCACCGGTATTTCCAGGGTGTCGCATGCCTGCTGAGTGGTGGGGACAAACAGGAACAGGGTGTGGGGGCTCAGTCAAGTGTACAGGCTGTACAAGACCCAAATGGTGTGCTATGGTTGGCTAGCTTGGGACAGTCTCTGCGTACACAACTAGCTAGATGTTAATTTGGGCAGTTTGCTGGCAGATGTCCAGAGAAAGGCACACTGACCTCCACGACCTTCTTCCCTGCCTCCTTCTGGTCAGATGACAACGAGTGTCTGAGGGACCCCTGCGCAGGAAGAGGACGCTGTGTCAACAGTGTGGGCTCCTACTCCTGCCTCTGCTACCCTGGCTACACACTAGCCACCCTGGGAGACACACAGGAATGCAAAGGTAAGACAGACATGCCTTGGGCCTGGGATGGGTTGGAAGAGGAACCAGGTATGCATTACCATTGGGAGCACCAGAGCCTTGGGAAAAAGAGACAGAACTCTGGCCTTGATCTGGGAGGAAGCTGAGCCTATGCTGGGAATCACAAGAAGGAAGGGGACTCCAGAAAACAGCATCATTTTCAAAGACCTCAAGGAACTGTGGCTAGAGCCAAGAGGAGGCCAGAGACTTGGCTGATGACGGGGAACAAAAGCCAGTGCTCAAGTGACAAGGAAGCTTTCAGGGGAATGAGGGTAACTCATGGGGATAGGAGGTTGGACTCTCAGCAGACCAGGAGACATGTGTGCATTTGGGAGAAGAGTTCTGGTCCCCAGCAGTAGGGATACCTTCAGGCTTCAGCCTTCCCTAGGAAGGCTTGGCCACAGGTAGTCAACTTTTGGTAAACAGGCTTCCTGTGTATCTTAGTTAGGGCTGTGATGAAACTCCATGCTTAAAAGTAGCTTGGGGAGGAAAGGGTTTATTTAGCTTATATATCCTGAATCAAAGTCCACTGTGAGAAGCCAAGGCAGGAGCTCAAGCAAGGCAGGAACCCTGAGGTAGGAGCTGACATAGAGGCCATAGAGCTGCTTACTGAACTGCTCTTCATGGCTTGCTCAGTCTGCTTTCTTATAGAACTCAAGACCACAAGCCCAGGGGTAGCCCCACCCACAATGGGCTGGGCCCTCCCACATCAATCACTAAGTGAGAAAATGCCCTACAGGCTTGCCTACAGCCTGAAGATGGAGGTGTTTTCTCAATTGAGGCTCCCTCCTCGCTGATGACTTAAGCGTGTGTCAAGTTGACATAGAACTAGACAGCGCACTGTGCAAACCCTTTTAAAGAACGTAGAATGTTCCTGTGTATTTTTTTCATGAATAAATTCACAAGGAAATCAGAAAGTATCTTCCACACAGTGCCTGGAGACCCAGGAGCAGTTGGAAAATGTTCACTTTGAGAGTGGCACTAACCTGCTCTTAGGGCTCCATGTCTGGTACTAGCCTGCAGCTTGGCAGTGGCCATGGAGTTATGAATCGTTCCATTGGCGGTCTCCTCAACCTCTGATCCTCTGAAGACCTTTGGCCTTCAGAATCCAAAGCCATCCAAGTGCTCTCCCTTCATTATGTGAGGAAGGGAGGTAGAGAAGCCCAACCCAATAGGAACGTGAGGGAACCAGGGCAATGACTGCTCCTGAGTACTCCGGCTCCGACTGAGTGGCCAGGTCCCAGTCCCTAGACTGAGCTCTGAAGACAACCAAACGAATGAGCGAAAATAGTGACACTATGGAGCAAGCAACTGACTATAGTAGAGAATTTGGGAAGGTTTCCTTGAGCAGGCGCCTGAGCTAGGGTAGAATAATAACAGCTCCCATTTAATGAGTACTTATTATACCCGGAGCCACTCTAAGCACTTTATTATAGAAAGCTTATCACTCCATCCCTTTAGCAAATGAAGCTTCGAAAGGGGAGTTGAAATGCACACGGGTATTACACCACTGGATGTAGTTTTCAGAAGTCACGCCCACGCCAAAGCATGGCTCGCCTCCCATGACCCACCCCTTTGCATGCAGGGTACCTGAGGGGCAGCAGCAGGAGTGGACGCAGCAGGTGGTGGTCCTTGGAAGGACAACCATTTCTGCACAGGCCAGCGTCATGGGCGGGCCTGGCATGCCCCGGGAATAATGGATGAAGTCAGGGTGACTGGAGTGTGGGCTTGTTATCGGAAGTGGCCGTAAGGTGAGGCTAATCTGTGAAGTGACTGGTGCCAAGATGAAGTACTTGGCCATCGTCCTGTGGGCAGTACAGGGACTGCCGAGGGAGATTGTCGAGGGAAGATGGCTCCGTCATCTGGCTGTCGGGGAGGAGGTGACTCAGAAGGCAGGGTGGCAGAGGCAAGGGAAAGGCAGGGGACAGAGGCTTTCCAGGCTTCAGCAACCTGATAGGTGCTGCCCCCAGAGGCACTGCTTTTTGCAGGTCCAGCCTAGGAGCTAACCCAGGGCAAATTATGGCTGCTACAGGGGATGGTATTGCCAGGACTGGTCCAGACAAGAGGCGCTAACCTGTGCCAGCCTGATGTCTCGATGTCTCTGCCAGCCCCAACAGCTGTAAGGAGGGGAGGAACCAGGGATCAGCTGAAGTGCTTTTAGCACTGGGGATTGGCTGCTGCTTGAAGGACCTAATCTAATTTAGCATCCACTTCCTAAATTTTGCTAGTCTCATAGGACTAGGACTCATAGGTTTCATTATTTTAATCTAGCACTGATTCACATGTATAAACTAATTATTCTAAATCTTTACGTTTTAAGTTCATTTAAATAGAAATAAATATAAATTATCTAGAAATTAAGGCTTTAATTAGGATTCTGCATAATAACTTATCTTCTAATAAGTGTATGTCTTTGCACTTGGGCCTTTGGGTTTCCGTATCTGTGAGTTGCTTACTCCTGTCTTTGGCTGGTTTCCCGGGGTTGTTGCTTTTTCTTGTGGCTTTTTATGTGTACCTCGTGTATTCCGTTCCATTTATTTGTTTTATGCGTGTAAGAGTGCTTATGTGGAGGCCAGAGGACAGCTTTGTTGAGTTGGTTTTCTCCTCCATCTTCATGTGGGCTCTGGGGACTCTACCTCGGGGTCCCAGGCTTGCATGGCAAACTGGCTGGCCCTCTTTTCTATTTTTTCACGTGTAGTGGGTTTTATTATGTCACAAAGACGTTGTGCACTTACATTTATCCTCACTTTCTCGGGAAGCTTTATCCAGCTGGGGACCATGTTTGCATGATATTACTAACCCATGTCTCCGTTTTCATTTTTCTCGACAAACAAGTTTCTCCAACACCATCTGTTTAGGAGGCAGTGGTTCTGGTGTCAGCCATTTTATTTTCATCGGGTTTCCACTTTTCGGTCCGTCTTTGAGGTCCTTCTCTTTTCTTCCCTGTTGGCAGTAGAGCTTCTCAGAGTTCAGGCAGCTGTTTCTCAATTCACCGGAGAGTTGCTACCAGGAAGGTTCTTTCCTGGCTCTGCCCTAAATGAAGGTCAGGATCTCTGTGGGGCTGAGGAGGGTGTTTGTGGCAGCCCTGCTGTGGTTCCGCTGTGAACTGGAGTGACACAGGAAGGAATGATACTGGAAGCACAGTGAGTTTTAGTGAAGGTCTATGCCTGAGCGACGCTTGCAAACATTTCTTCCGTGTTTACTGCCGGCGTGGCACGTTGTTAATCTCTTTGCCTCTCAGTCTGCACAAGGTCTCTGTTGAAGCACTTGAACCTGTGCTAGAGAGGGGCAAAGATGAGGCGTGATGGCTTTGATGGTGGAGCCAGGGGGTTGTCACAGGACATAGCTGGTACACTGAGGCACGGTTTAGAAGGTGAACAGGAATCTGCCGATCATCAGGAGAGGAAAGACACTCGAAGCAGAGGCATGTGTGTGAAGAGAGATTTGGAAGCTGGACTCATGGGAATCTACCATAGCTAAGATTATACCAGGGGCTGAGCGGTGGCGGCACAAGCTTACATTCCAGCAGTTGGGAGGCAGAGGCAAGTGGATCTCACTGAGTTCGAGGCCAGCCTGGTCTACAGAGCTGAGTTCCAGGACAGCCAGGACTACACAGAGAAACCCTGTCTTAAAAAAACAAAGCAAAACAAAACAAAACAAACAAAGATTATACCAAGGAGTGTGGGAAAATACAGCAGGGCCAGGGCCAGGTTTGTGAGCCAAACTGCAAGTAGGACTAGAGGCATCAAAGAGCCAAGGTAGGGGATGAATCAGGGGGTATCCTGACCAAGACTGGGCTTTAGAGCCATTGTAAGGTGTCAGTGTACTTTGGATAATGATATAAACATGCTTTACAGATCCTTGGCTGCCTGCATAGCTTCCTGTCCTTCTAAGAAGGTCCATCATTGAGAAGAATCCTAGTGGTAGAGCCAGTGTCTACTGTACTCGTGCTGGAGCATGGGGAACTTTGTTGGTCCCCCTCAGATCATACTATATGGGTTGATACCTGACCTCAAGTCCAGCCTTTACACCAGGAGAAGAAAGCTGCAGGGCTCCCATGGGCCCTAGAACTAGCCATCCCTGGGACAAAAGAACTCAAGGGGCACCAGGGTCTGACCAGTCTGAAAGATGACTTAGGAATCCCTCCAAGCAATTCTACCACAGCAAATGTGCCTTCCTTACCTAGCAGCCTTGGCCTTGGCCTCAGGAAAGGCTGCCTCAGGACCACCCCCACCCCGGGCTGGCTTTGACCCGGGACCATCCTGTGTGTTTGCAGATATAGATGAGTGTGAGCAGCCTGGGGTGTGCCGTGGCGGACGATGCAGCAACACTGAAGGCTCGTACCACTGTGAGTGTGAGCGGGGCTACATCATGATCAGGAAAGGACACTGCGAAGGTAAGGAGTGAGGATAACGGGTCAGCCTGCTGTCCCACACACTACCCACCACCAGCTCCCCTTCTGGCTGCCCTCCTCCAAGTCCCTTGATGCTAAGCCAGTTCCTACAGGCAGAGATGTATCTATGAATCCCTGAGCCCTCTGTCTCCTGGGTGATGTGTTGGCAGCTTCTCTACCCCCGTGGCAGAGAAATACAAATCTATGTGACACTACAGGCACGAATGTCTTTGCACACCTCTGCCCCATCATCACCTTTTTTAAAAAAAAAAAAGCGCTTTCTTTGCATATCAGAGGAAGCATTGATCTCTCTGGCAGCTTCAAAGCATTTCCAAGAGAGTGACTACATCACGTGATAGGGCACCTTCCTTGCGCCAGCTGGCCGCACTAAGCACTTGGTAAGAGAGCCTCATTGGGCATCTCAGTGCTACGCATTTAATACAGGACTTACTAAAAAAGAAAAGCAAAGCTAAAGGAAATGAACCGGGAGATGCCAGAACGCTGAAAAGATCAGATTTATGCTAACCCGTCTGTGTTAAGGGCACAGGCTCCAGTGCAGACAGGCCTGGGTTGTATTAATGTTTCATGTTTGGAAGTGGAAATCGCCACACTCCTCTCAGAGGACTGATCCGCTAACATGCACAAGATGCTCAGGACCACCTCAAGCTCGCCGCAAGGTCCTCTGTTATCATGTCGAGACTCCGCCACCGCCACATCCGTGTCCTGCTTTGGGTGGCTCTGCCCCATCCTGAGGAAAGACGCTAGACAGACGCTGCATCTGGGAGGTCAGGCTGAGTTCTTGGCCCTGGGCAGACACTCCGGGCCTGTTGAAAGGATGATGTAGTTTGTACACTTCTCCAGGTTTCCATCAGTAACCACAGGCCCTGCCCATCACCCCGGGAGCCCAGTCAATTTCCTCTCCCTTTCTTCTTTCTCCAACCAAGAAAATAATCTCTCCACTGAAACCTGAGGTCTCTGGAGAGGTCTCTGTGAGGTCTGGACAGGGGCCTATGCAACAGCCTGAATGGCATTTTCATCAGACCCAGGCCTCTGGGTTCCCTGTGGACAGAGGTGCAGATTCTCTTTTACAGGGTCTTGGCTGTTCTCGAGTCTCACCCGAGGTCCCCTGAACTGCCTCCTACTCCCACTTTGTGCTCTTTCCGAGGTCCCAGACGGGTGCCCTCCCAGCTCCCCATGCAGACACTGATCCCTGGAGAGATCTGCTCAGGGATCCCCTCAGGGTACGGACGGCAGACTCACAAATTAGTCCCAGGTGTGACCGTTCCTTGGCTCCCCTTGGCGCATATTATTTTAGGCACGTTGTTTCATCGGTTGGTCAGCAAACATTTGTTGGGTGCCAGCTGTATGCTAGCCACGGGCTAGGAGTACAGCAATAAATATTCCCAAAAAACGACCAGTAGGTTGGTCTACCAAAACATACCATATTATTATTAAATGAAAATTCAAACTCTTGCCGAGGCGCAAGACTCTCCACCCAGTGGCAGGCTCCATGAGTTTACATTGGAATAGCCTCGGGTTACCCAGTGATGGAGTTCACTCAGCCAGAATTTTCCTCCTCTGATCAGTTTGTCGAATGGCTCAGCTCTACCCACTCCCATTCAGGAGAGGCCTTCCCTCGTTCAGGTGAAGACTGAGGGGCTACTCTGGTCTTCTGACCTCTCTCTTTCTCCCTGACAGACAGCATCAGCGTCATTCCCTGGGGCTCTGGGAGTAGCATAGCAGCTTTGCACTAGCGATTAGTTACAGAGTCAGGCTCCTACCTTCGAGGTGTCATGTGTCTGTCACGAGTCAGTGGAGGGGGCTGGAGAGATGGCTCAGTGGTTAAGAGCACTGGCTGCTCTTCAAAGGGACCTGGGTTCAAGTCCCAGCACCCACAAGGCAGCTCACAACTGTCTGTACTACCAATTCCAAGGGATCTGATCTATAGAGACCCCAAGATAGTTCATCTTAGTGTCATCACAGCCCAGCTAGGAGCTTATTGTGGCTGTCTTTCCAGAGATGAGCCTTTTTACCTAGAAATTGTAGGTGTCTTTGCAGACACTCACCCCAATAAATACTTGAGGATATATTCTCCTCTTCTTGACCCTTAGGGACAAGCTCAGGGCTTGAAAAGTCCAGGTCCCTTGGAGACAGACAGCATGATGGCTCCTGACTTCTGCAGGCCAGACAGCCTCAGGCCCCTTGCCCTGCTCTGCTCTATGCTGTCACCGGCTGGCGGTGTTAGCCCTTTCACAGGACGCTTGTCTTCTCTCCCTTGCCTGTCTTCCGTGTCTTTCCTGTAGGTCCTGAGTAGGTCTTCCTTCTGTGCAGTAGGCCCCTTTGGTTTGCTTAAGCTGCCGAACTTTCTCCCAGAGAATAATTGCCAATTTAGGAGGATAAATCCTCCCGTTTGCTTTGGAGCTTGGCCAACCTGATGGCCAGGCATTTTGATTACTTGGGCCAGAAGAACGTATTGTTCTCATGCGGTTGTGGCCCAGAGCTTAGTCCCTGTGGTCTGACCTCTCTCCCTCAGTTCATCCCCTGGATACCTCAGAGTCCCTGATAGGCAAGCCATGAATGAAGAGCGCTGCACTCGGATCCTTGGGGCAAAGCTTCTCTTCCTTGCTGTCACTCTCTCTCCTTGGTCCCCTCTCCCCCTGCCTGTCCTGTTAGTCCCCAGACTTCAAGCCTTGCTGCCTGAGGCTCTGGATCTCAGCAGAGGGAGTGCTGAGACCCTGTGCCTATCGGCTAGAAGAAAAACAGAGGAACCTTGCCAACCTTGACCCTTAAGTCTGCACCCTGCCTCAAGGTGGGTCCGTGCCATACCCAAAAATAAAGTTCAGCCTCAGCCTTCATTTCCTGGTCCAAAAAAGCACTTAGCTTTCACTGCCCTTTGGTGATTTCCTGGGGCCTGTGGTAACAGTCCAACTAACTGCTGGGCCACCGGTGGCCACCCGTTGTGAAGGGTTAAGCATTTACCAAGGGTAATATGAAGAACCATCCCAAACAGACCAGCTCGAAACACACATCTCTCCCACTTCCTCCGGCTAACAGCACCCTCAGCCTAATGCAGCCACCTGGGAAGTGTTCCCATCTTTGAGTCCTTTCATCTATCTTTGCTCTAGGATAGTGAGTCGGGGAGGTGGGGTTGGGAACACACAGCAACTCATTTTTTCCTAGTGTTCATCTATGCAGAAACGAACATCCATTTCCCCACACAGGGCAGGGTCAAGGGTTTGCAGACATGAAGTACCCATGGGTTGTGGTTCTCAGAGATGACCAAGGGAGGGACTGTTGTTTTATAGATATCAATGAATGCCGTCACCCTGGTACCTGCCCTGATGGGAGATGCGTCAACTCCCCTGGCTCCTACGATTGTTTGGCCTGTGAGGAGGGCTACAAAGGCCAGAGCGGGAGCTGTGTAGGTAAGGGCTGATTGCCAAGGCACTGGGGGGGAGGGGGAATCACTTGGCTTTGCGATGGCCGGTTGAGCCCACACACAGGGAGGGGAAGAGATGGGCAGACAGAAGTGGCTTAGAGGGTATTGTCCCCCCGTCATCCAGTTCGACTCTTAGAGGATGCTGACTGCGATGTGGGTGTGCTTCGGTTATGGGACTCTGCCCTCTGAATCAGCGAGGGTGGGGCCCTCCTCTGCTGCTCAGCCACATCCGTTCTGAAGCTCTATCCCAAATCCCCAGAAGCTCCCGTGGTTGGCTTCTGTGGACTGGGATGAGAAGCCTCGGGGGGTCTTAGCCAGCCACCAGGCCCTCAGCTCTCCTACAGTGAAGGACCGAATAAGGAGCGTCACACACTGAAGGGCAGTAGCACTCCTTGTTCCCAGAACAACTCAGTGTCAGTGGGAAGAGCAGTGCTCTTTCCCCTCAGCCCCCACAGGAAAAGAGCCCAAGGTCCTGGTGCCGGGAGGGGCCGTGTTCTGAATAGATGCTTTGAGGCTCTGGAGAGGGCAGATAGTTCCCAGGCCCTCAAGACAGCCACAGCCACCCAGGCCTGGCCTCTCTCCACACTGCCCACCCACGTACTGAGACTGTTTGTTGAGTATGGGACATGGGTTTTTGTTGTCATTGTTTGTTTGTTTGTTTTGGTGGCAGGTAAGAGACTAGAGAGGGTGAGACTCACAGTTGAGTGGGTCAAGGGTCTTGGGTACCTTATTTCTAACATTCTAGGTGGCTTCATTTTCCAAGACTAGGCAGGGTGTTCTGTATCACAACAGGGGAGCTGAGGAGCACGCAGGAGGGTGTGACGCTGCTTTAACCTGGATGAAATAAAAGAGCATGGCTTCGCCGCTCTCTAAGGGTGGCCTACGTGCCCTCTGAAGGCTGGTTCCACAGGCTCCTGATTGAGATGGTCAAGGCTTGCTAGAGTGAGGAGCAGTGCAAAGGACACGAGGAGGCCAGTGTGCCATCTTGGACTTTATCCACAGATGTGAATGAGTGTCTGACCCCTGGGATCTGTGCCCACGGAACGTGCATCAACACGGAAGGCTCCTTTAGATGCTCTTGTGAGGCGGGCTATGAGGTCACCCCGGACAAGAAGGGCTGCCGAGGTACAAAGATGCAGCACGCTCCTTGCGCAGGGAAATCAAGCCTGCATCATCTTTCCCTTTGCGTGCCAATCCCTGCATCCACTCCTGAATCATCCCATCAGGCTCGAGGCCTATCTCACCAGTCTGCTAAAACCTGTCCCTTCTACCCTCCCCGCCCACCTATGAGTCTTGGGCATGCCTGCCCTGCAGGATCCCGTACAGAACTCAGTGGCTTCTTTCAGATGTGGACGAGTGTGCCAGCCGAGCCTCCTGCCCCACCGGCCTGTGCCTCAACACTGAGGGCTCCTTCACGTGCTCAGCCTGTCAGAGTGGGTACTGGGTGAACGAAGACGGCACCGCCTGTGAAGGTAATGCAGGAGAGACGGTGACAGGATGGAGGCCTTCCTCCCTCCTGAGTAACGTCTATTTGTCCTCCAGACCAGGACTGACCCTGGGAGTCTTTGGGTTAGGTTAGAGGGAAGTTTGGGGGACTTGGCCCCAAGGGAGGTTTTATTGTCATAACTTGCAAAATCACGAATGAGACACGGTCACAGAGACAAGAGGGAAACTAAAGTGACATGTGGTGGGGCATGCCTATCATCCCGGCACTTCGGGATGGCAGCAGAAGGATCAGTAGTTCGAGGCCAGCCTTAGCTCCATGACCCTGAGTTTGAGGCCAACCTGAGCTACATGACCCTGTCTCAAAAGAGGTAAGCTGGAGGTAGAGCTAACCATGGAGCTGTCTAGGAAGGAAGTATGGGGTTGCCTTATAGAATATGGCCAGGGCTTGCCCTTCCCTAGAGGTGTTGTGAGGGAAGGCCTCACTGGTGGAACTGCCCTCCTGGGTTCATGGCCACAGTTGTCTATCTGCCTAGACCTCGATGAATGTGCCTTCCCTGGAGTCTGCCCCACAGGAGTCTGCACCAACACTGTGGGCTCCTTCTCCTGCAAGGACTGTGACAGGGGCTACCAACCCAGCCCCCTGGGCAACAGCTGTGTAGGTAAGAGACCCCTCCCCTGTGGGAGAGCACCAGTGGGCTACAGTAGACCAACCTAGAAGGAACAAGAAGGAACAAGAGCTCCCCTTAAACCTAGGATAATGGGCCCAGGACACCTACAACTATTCCTTCTCTGGAAGAAGTCAGGAGAGGGCTAGATGCTGTGAAGTCACTGGGCACAGGCTGCAGTGTCTCAGGAGCACCAAGGGACAACAAGAGACAAGGGTGGTTTCTTGGGCCTTGGCCTAGACTCTCAAGACTTCCTAAGACTGGCTTCTAGAGCAGCTGTTCTCAATGTGTGGGTCTTGACCCCTATGGGGGTCAATGATCGTCTCAGAGTGTTTCTGTATCAGATATCCTGAACATAAGATATTTACATTACGAGTCATTAACAGTAGCGAAGTTACAGTTACGAAGTTGCAACGAAATCATTTTATGGTTGGGGGGGGGTGGTCACCACAACATGAGGAACTGAATTTAAAGGGTGTCGGCTTTAGGAAAGTTGAGGACCACTGTTCTAGGGCATCCATTGTGCTTTGCAATCGTGTTAATAATGGCTATAGTCCCAATGATCAAGAGACCTAGTCAGGACGAGGAAAAGTCCAAGGCCGACCAGGGCTACATACATAGTGAGGGGGGTGGGGTGAGGGTGGGAAGCAGGCCAGATGACCCAAGCTTGTAATGCTAGCATTTGGGAGGTGAGAGCAAGAGGATTAGGAGTTCAAGGTCATCCTTGGCTATCTAGCAAGATGGAGGCAAGGCCAGTGTTAACTCTATGAGATCCTATCTCAAAACAAACACAAACAAAGAAGCAAAGTAAGACCCTCCGTTACCTTCTTGGGTTCCCTGCACCTATTTCCTTGACTGATTTCCTGTTGCCTCTCAGCCAAGACAGGGGAAGGAGGATTTGGTTTGCCTAGGCCAGGACTACTGGGCATGCAGGAACCCAGCCAGGATTGGACCAAATGGTCATCCTTTTAAGGATCCAAAAGGATCCTTAAAGCCATCCTTTAGAGTGGCTCTCTCCTTAGCTTCTCCCAGCTCTACTGCCCTGGGCCAGCCCCCTCAGGCAGGTGATGGGCCCCTCCCCTGTGTGACCCTACAGATGTGGACGAGTGTGGACGCCAGAACAGCTGCCTGGGAGGCGAGTGCAAGAACACGGAAGGTTCCTATCAGTGCCTCTGTCCCCAGGGCTTCCAGCTGGCCAATGGCACTGTGTGTGAGGGTGAGTACCCCGTCTCCCCACAAGGAGGTGAGCATCTGCAGAGGTGAGGGCATCCCCCAAGACGCTCCCTTCTCATCTTGCCCTTGCAGATATGGACGAGTGTGTTGGCGAGGAGCACTGTGCTCCTCATGGCGAGTGCCTCAACAGCCAGGGGTCTTTCTTCTGTCTCTGCGCGCCCGGCTTTGTCAGTGCTGAGGGAGGCACCAGGTGCCAGGGTAAGAAGTTGGCGTGGTCAGCTCTAAGGTCCACCAGCAGGGCTGTTAGAGGCTGTGTCCAGATTGGGGTCCCGTCTGAATATTACCGCTCATGTGAATGTGCCCACAGCCTGCCTGCCCAGTGGGGAGGAAGTGGGAAGGCTGGGGAGATGTGGAAGATCCATATCTTGTGAGGAAGGACTCAAAGGCTGTCAGAGGACCTCTCTGTGATACCTGTGGAAGGTGCGCATGCTCTCCAGGGTCTCAGTGTCACCTTTCTTCTGCTGACAAAGCCCCAGCACTACAGCCCACCCCGCAGTATGGCCTTAGGTTCCCGGCTCTGGTCTGTCCCTACCCCAGCTTCTCCCTGGCTCTCTTACGGGCTTCCTGAGGTCCTGAGGAAGCTGCTCGGAGCCCTAACAAGCTCTAAAGAGACCCATAGTTATGCCTGCTGACTGCTGTCTTTATCCTAGATGTTGATGAATGCACAGCCACAGACCCGTGTCTGGGGGGGCACTGTGTCAACACAGAGGGCTCCTTCAACTGTCTGTGTGAGACTGGCTTCCAGCCCTCCCCAGACAGCCGAGAGTGTGTGGGTAAGGACTCTAGGGATTGGACGGGTGTGCTCTGCCTCTCTTCTGCCCATTTCTATCCCTGTGTGCTCCTTAGCTTCTGGAACAGTGAACAAAGCTTCTCAGGGAATAAAGCATTTTCTATGAAAGCCAAAGTATAAACACAAAGTCTGGCCCCGGGGACTGTCCAAAGCTGGTATGATAAAGACAGTCTTAATCGTTATACCAGCAGAGCCCACAATCCAGTTTTAAAGGCCAAATACGTTCAGCAGATACCAAACACCTGCTATGTCCAGTGTCTTTTGGTAGGACAGATGGTTACAGACTATCTTGAAATTGGATTAGGGACATAGATCTCGAAGAGAGCTCCCTGAACCCCACCTGTGGCAAAAGTGGCATGCAGTGCCTGCCCTGCTGGGGATGGGAGGCGGAAGAGGCTGAGAACATGCTCAGGGCTTCCCAAGTGGTGTATAGTTGTCTTCCTCCATGCTCAGCCCTGCTGGGTCAGGGGAAGCTCTCCTGAGTTAATCTGCCGTGAGTGAGGTGAGCACAATGATTAGAGACGAACCTCAGACCTTGGAAACTCTGGGAAGTGAGCTTGTAATGTCAGCAAGGTGGGGCCAGGACAGTGGCCTTAGCCACACATCTGGCCCCTCTCGTGGCTTGGGGACAGATATTGATGAGTGTGAGGACGACGAAGATCCAGTGTGTGGAGACTGGAGGTGTGAGAACAGCCCAGGTTCCTATCGCTGCGTCCTGGGCTGCCAGCCTGGCTTCTACATGGCCCCAACAGGAGACTGCATTGGTGAGGGGGGGGGGGCAGGAGAGGTGGACGTGGGAGGGCTGAGGAGGGCCGAGGATGTCTGGTTTTCCCTGCATTGAACTAGAAACAAGTTCTCTCAAGGATACTGTTGGGGCACTTGTTTAAGTTTGTGTGTTTTCCATACAATGAAGTTTACACAAAAAAAACTGAAGAGGAATGTTACAGTTAAAGCTTTCTTGTGCTGTGTCCAAGGGTTGTTGTTTTTTGTTTTGTTTTGTTTTTCTTTCTTTCTTTCAAATTTTGGTGGTAATAGACCTGATAAATAAGTACTCCCAGCAAACAGAGAGAGCATACACACCCTCTATCCTGGTCCCCATTATCCCGCAGACATAGATGAATGTGCCAACGACACTGTGTGCGGGAGCCACGGCTTCTGTGACAACACGGACGGCTCCTTCCGCTGCCTGTGTGACCAGGGCTTCGAGACCTCACCCTCAGGCTGGGAGTGTGTTGGTGAGAAGCCTGCGGGCTACCCAAGGTCTGGGCTAGGAAAAGCCCTTGGGCCCTTCTCGTTTCCACCAATGTTCAACTTTCCTGAAAGGCAGTGCTAGGGCCCTCTCCTGAGACATCCATATTTACATGGCTCCAAAGGAGAACCAAGGAAGGTTCAAGGGAGGGAGAGTTCCCCGCCAGCTAGCATTGCTACTGGGAAGGTAGAAGAGTGGTCAGTCCTGCCACAGAAGGAAGAGACCTCCTGCCCCATTCTCTTCCCTAGAGAAAGTGGGACACAGATGTCCAGAGGAGGGAACTCCCCTCTTGGTTCACTTTTAGAACCGATTTCAGCAACTTCTCTTCTCTTTTCCCTACCATCCCCTCCGCTCCCCAGTCTCCCTTTCCTGCTAATTCATATCCACTCTCGTTTCTTCCGTGTGCGGTTCTCTTGAGGGTGTGAGAAGCTGCCTAGCCTGGGCTGGAATCAGGGGCAGGGGGCCATTAGTTTCCTCTCCTCTGTACTCGGGTCTGTCCTCGTGCCTGGCAGACGTGAACGAGTGTGAGCTCATGCTGGCAGTGTGTGGGGATGCGCTCTGTGAGAACGTGGAAGGCTCCTTCCTGTGCCTCTGCACCAGTGACCTGGAGGAGTACGACGCACAAGAAGGACGCTGCCGTCCTCGGGTGGCCGGAGGTGAGACCTGAGAGGCTCAGAGGCCCCTTCCCTTCCTGCCGTTTTCCACGAGGACTCTGGCTTATGAAAGTTGCCCATTCATGTAGCTCCTGCCACTTAGTAAAGCTCATAGGGAGAGTGTTAGGGATAGGGGTTAGGCATGGGTTATGGAGCAGACAGGAGCCTAAGTGCCTCACTTGGCCAGCACGTGCTAGACAACACCCCCTCAGAAAGACTAGGATGATCTAGGGAAATTCAGGGTGCTCTGGCACTTAGAATAGCCCCCCAGAACCACAAATTGAGTTTATTAGAGACCCTGAATCCACCCAATCTTTGGCTGGGTCTTTTGGGTAAAGGAGGCCTTGAGGTTAAGCTCAGCTGGACCTGACCCTTCCCACTGCCACTCTGCCCCAGGCTGGACCAGTACTCAGCTGGCTTCAGTGACTTGGAGAAAAGCAAGGGGACCTTTGTAAGAAATAATGGAGGGGAGAAGGGCTTGGGGTCCCTGAGAAGCAGAAGGGGTCAGAGGGATGCTCTTATGGAGGGGTGGGGATTGTCTGTGTGGGTTGTGGGCAAGTAGTATGATTAAAACATCAGGGGCTCGGGTATTGGAGGGTATTGGGGTCACAGTCCCATTTCACCCCTTAATAACTTCTTAAACATAACTTCTGAGAGGCGATGTCTTCGTCTGTGCTACGGGAAATGACAACAGCAGCCACTCCTAGGGGTGATCAGGGTACCACAGGAGACAAAGCGCACCGTAAGCTTCTATGTGGACACTAAGTTTAAAAGATCACCTTGAGGGCGGGGATGCGTCAAAGGGTCATGTGTGTCTCTCACACATAGCTCAGAGTCTCCCGGAGGTTCCGACAGGAGACCAGGATCCAGGCCTCATCCGCATGGAATGCTACTCTGGGCACGATGGTGGTGCTCTCTGCTCTCACGTCCTGGGCCTGAACTCCACACAGGCTGAGTGCTGCTGTACCCAGGGTGCCAGGTGGGGAGCAGCCTGTGACCCCTGCCCATCGGAGGACTCAGGTAAGGCCTCAAGGGCTACAGAGACTCTTTGGGTCAGTTTTCAGGGGGCCGGGGTCGGGGAAGGAGCCAGGGGTGATGGCACAGGCCTGTAATTTCAGCTTCCGGCATTCAGGAGGCTGAGGCAGAAAGAGAATGAGTTTGAGGCAAGTCTGAGCTACATAGCAAAGTTCCAGGACAGCCGCTATTATATAATTAGACATAAAGAAATGGGGGGTGGGGGAGATAGCGTTCCCTCTCTGAGCTTGGACGCCTTCCTATGCAGTCGAATTCAATGAGCTCTGCCCCAGTGGTCAAGGCTACATCCCAGTGGAAGGAGCCTGGACATTTGGACAAACCATGTACACAGGTAACCATCCTCAACACCTCCTCCTCAAACTCCGCTTGCCAGAGTGAACCCTGGCCTAGTCCTCTGCGAGCCCCCAGAAAGTCCTACACCTAGCCCTGGCTTCCAGGTAGATTCTGTCTTTTGGGCTCTGGGTCTTTTTTGTCCGTGACATTTTTAGCTGAAAGGTTTTAACCAAGATCCTCCTGGGGTGTTCGCATGAGCTCAGTTTCCTTGTGTCCTCAAGCCTAGAGGGGATGCTGTGGTGTTTGGCCTCACGTCCGCCATACCTGGACACAGGGACTGCCTGAGGGCCCTGCACTGCCACCCAGGTCAGGACAGTAGCTATCTCCCTTGCTCCACCCACCAAAGCAGAAACTTTGGGGAGCTCATACTCTTACTGGAGAGTCTCAGGTTCTGGTCCCCTTGGTGCCTTACTCCAAAAGCTAGTCCTGAGAAGGGAATAATAGAAATAGAAGGTGTGTGCCTGCGTGTGTGAGTACATGTGTTGTGTGTGTGTATACATGTGTTGCTGGGAATAAAACCAACGGCTTCAGGCAGACACTCTACCACCTAACACCCCAGCCCAAAAAGTAGCTTTTCTTGAGTGCCTGCTATGCACCAAGCACTATTTAAAGTACTTATGGGTATTAGTATTTCTTAATCCTTATCACACTTACAAAAGGTTGAGCAATATTTTAGAGGAGAAACGGAAGCAAGAAGACCCTAAGCGCAAGAAGACCCTAAGCAACTTTACCAGCCCGCTTGGACAGCTGGATGTAGGGCCTCTGACTATAAGTACCCCCTTTCCTGCTGCTTTCCCCCCTTTCTCCCCTCACTCTGCTCTCCTTCAGATGCTGATGAGTGTGTGCTGTTCGGGCCTGCTCTCTGCCAGAATGGCCGATGCCTCAACACAGTGCCTGGCTACATTTGCCTGTGCAACCCTGGCTACCACTATGATGGCTCCAGCAGGAAGTGCCAGGGTGAGGACTCACATGCCCCTCCCCCACCCCGCTAACCCCAGGTTCCACTCTTGCTGAAAGCCACCCCTTTCTAGGCAGGACTGCCACAGGCGGGTCTGAGGTGAGGGGGAATCTAGGCTGTCGGAGATTGTCCCTAGAGGGAGCCCTTCCAGCATGGGCATCTTTATGGGCCTCCTTAGGGAGGTCCTTCTGTGAGCAGTGTCTGACAAGGCCGCTCTGGCCCTGTTGCACCTTTTCCTGACGCCACAGATGACAACGAATGCCAGGACATGGCCTGTGAGAATGGCGAGTGTGTAAACACTGATGGCTCCTTCCACTGCTTCTGCAGTCCCCCCCTCACCCTAGACCTCAGCGGGCAGCGCTGTGTGAACAGTACCAGCAGCACAGGTGAGTAGATGGGGTGTGGGCAACGGGGGGGAGGGGCACAGACCTAGCCTGTGACCCACACCCTTCCGCGGTCTGTGCCGCCAGAGGACTTCCCTGACCATGACATCCACATGGACATCTGCTGGAAAAAAGTCACCAATGACGTGTGCAGCCAACCCTTGCGTGGCCATCATACTACCTATACAGAGTGCTGCTGCCAAGATGGCGAGGCCTGGAGCCAGCAGTGTGCTCTCTGTCCCCCCAGGAGCTCTGGTGAGAGGGTGCCTGCAGGTCTGGGGTGTAGCCCTGGGAAGGGGGTACTATCACCCTGGAAGGAGGAGAGCAGTTGGGGAGCAGTGGCCTTGACCTCCATTCTGGTTGCTCAGGACACAGAGAGGTGCAGGAATTGTCAGGAATCCCCACATGTTCGCTTCTTGAGCAAAGAGCCGGGTGAACCAGCTCGCCAGGCGCTAGCTGGCTGGAGCTGGAGTCCAGTCCCCTTTCTCCTTCCTCCCCGACAGAGGTCTATGCTCAGCTGTGCAACGTGGCTCGGATTGAGGCAGAGCGGGAAGCAGGGATCCACTTCCGGCCGGGCTACGAATATAGCCCTGGTCCGGATGATCTGCCCTACAACCTCTATGGCCCAGATGGGGGCCCTTTCTACAACTACCTGGGCCCCGAGGACACTGTGCCTGAGCCACCCTTCTCCAATGTGGCCAGTCAGCTGGGAGAAAACATACCAATCCTGGAGCCTCCTCTGCAACCCTCTGAACTTCAGCCCCGCTATGTGGCCAGCCATTCGGGTATGCGCAGCAAAACTAGAGAGGAGGTGGGACTACCACTCCCTTCATCCCCTCATATATTGCGGGGGGCGTGAAGACAGGGAAGGGGAAAGACAAGGCCATGGTCATGCAAGACATAGCTCTGAAAGGCTTGGGTCAGACATTACCATAACTGTCACGCCAAACCTTCAGAAGAGTATGACCCTTTGTGTCAGTGTCTTTCTGTAGGACTGTTATGATCAACCTGCACAACCCCATCCTTGGCACTCAACAGCGACAACCTTTGCACTGGAGGGTATAGGCCCTAGTGGGAGCCTGGGGTCTCAGCACGGGCCTCAGCCTTGCTCTTTCTGACCCTCTCTTAGAACCCCTGGCCTCCTTCGAAGGACTGCAGGCAGAGGAATGCGGCGTCCTGAATGGCTGTGAGAATGGCCGCTGCGTGCGTGTGCGGGAGGGCTACACTTGCGACTGCTTTGAAGGCTTCCAGCTGGATGCGGCCCACATGGCCTGCGTGGGTAAGTTTGGCGCGGTGAGAAGGACCCCTACCCTAGGACTTAGGCTAGCTTGGAAGTACGCTGCTGCCCCCTGGTGGGCATGTCAAGCTAGTGCTTGCGGAAGGTTTCTTGCTAGGCTGGGGCAAATCCCTGGATGGATGTTCCTCCACAGAAGAGGAGCAAGGACAAGAAGGCATGGCCTTGGGCATGCTAAGAGATCATTGCTTCTTAGCTTTTATCCTTAAGTTGTCTGGTTTGGGGAAATGGGGCATCTTTTGGGTGTCATATCCAGGGTAGGGGGGGTAGGGGCTGGTGGCTAAAGGGACAGAGAGACACTTAAGAGTTTTCTTTTTTGCTTCCACAGATGTGAATGAGTGTGAAGACTTGAACGGGCCTGCAGCCCTCTGTGCACACGGTCACTGTGAGAACACAGAGGGTTCCTTTCGCTGCCACTGTTCCCCAGGCTACGTGGCAGAGCCAGGTCCCCCACACTGTGCAGCCAAGGAGTAAAAGTGAGGGGTCGCTGTGGGCAGCTCTCTGGAAATGGCTTCAGCTACAGGCTGGGGACTTAAGATTGCTTCCCTGGCTGGGAAGACATCATGGCTGGGAAGACAACGTGATGCCATCAGGCCAGGGCTCCGTAGCTCAGTTCTGCCAGCCTTGCCTTACTTTTTAACCTCGTCCAGCTTAGCTCTGGTTGTGAGCTTCCGTCACTGCCTCTATGCCATTGCTTGGCTCAGACACCACAAGTATTTTAATGCTTCAGCCACTGGCCATGGGACACAGCCCACCAGTCTGTCCTTGGGGCCTCAATGGAGGACACTGATTGGAAGAGTCCTCGGCCGCTTCTCTTGGGCTGTGCAGGGAAAAAAAAAATGCGGGCACCCCTTTTCCAGCTGTGATCCACACATCATCCTGATGATTTGTAACTGAGACAGCAGCTACATCTGCCCTAGGGTCGCCCCTGGCAATCTGTGGAGCAAGAGAACGTTTGGAAAAGTCTGGGGAGTAGCTCCCACGCCACCTCTCAGAACCACCACCACCACCACTCAGCCAAGCTGGCACGAGCTCCTTTCTGCCACATTGCCACCTGTAGACAGTTCTGTGGCCCCAAGAAGGGACCAGTTTCCCTCGTCTCAGAGGACAAAGACTAATACTAACTCGCTGAGTGAAAGAAACACAAACGAGGAATAATGAGCCTGAGAAAGCATGGCAAGAGAGTGACAGAAAAACCCTGGGGAGTTGATCTGGAAGGAGGAGCCAAGATTTATACGGATCTAAAAACATGGAGGAGCTTCGGGCAAATCAGTACTCAGAGTCACCTTAGGACCACTGTGCACCAGCGGTAATCTCACAGGATCCAGTGCGCATCTCCAAAGATCTTTTTTGGGTACATATGTTTCCGTACAGGAAACAAATCTCTTCTGGGCTTTTTGTGAAACAGAAATGGATGAGCTAACACTACAAAGTTCTCTTTTTTTGGTTGGTCTTGTCAGAGGAAGCCAAATTTTCAATGTAGTTTATCTCCTCCACTCAGAAACCCTTGCACTTGTTCGCTTCAGGAAAAAAAAAGAAAGAAAGGAAAATGGGGGCCTGGAATCCCTCTAAGAGATGCACTTCTGTACACGCTGGCTGGGAGTTCGGGAGCACGGTGGAATAAAGAGATGTTCATCCAGGCCCGCCTGTGCCCTGTTCTTATTTCCTGTTACACCAACTTGACCACGGTGGTTAAGTCTGCAGGTTAGACTGGAGTGGAATCTCTGTGCTCTCCATGTCCAGTTCCACCAGCCCGTGTGCCTGGGCTCCCGTGCGAAAGGGTCTATGCTATCCTAAGACAGGACAGACTGGCTGCGTTCCCCTGACTGGCAGGGCAGTGTGACGGGCTGTGTGTGACGGAAGAGGTGGTGGCGACTGCCCTGCCTGCTGCTCTGGCAGCCAGCCGTCGGATAACTTATTGGATGCCTGCTCTGAGCGCTGTAATGACTGCTGTGCTTATGTTTCAGTTAGTCACGCGACAATCTCATTTTCTACCTTATTCCTTCATGCAGGCAAGAGAACTGAGACGCTGGAAGCCGAAGTAACTTTCTTTAGGCCGCTCTCCCAGCTGAAGCACCCTCAGCAGACGAAAATGCATGGTCCTAAACCAACAGAAATCTGCTTTTGCTCCTAACAGTGCAGTGAGGTGGGGGGGAGGGGTTCAGCTCAGTCTTACCTACTGAGCATGAGATCCTGGGGTTCCTCCTAACACAGTGGGGGAGGGGAGGATCCTGAAGCCGCTTTCTTAAGACTGGCTGAGATCAAAGTTTGCTTGGGCTGCTGGGCGGCAAGCCCTGACAACTGAGGCCAGTACTGAGGCCAGTGCTGCCACAACCTCTGACATGCACAAAAGGCCAATGCCTTCTGCAGCTACAGCAGGACCAAAACTAACTCTCTGACCCGCTAGTGCCCCTTCTAGGACCTTAACCTCCCCCTGTGCTCTTGCTAAATATGAAATCATGTATGCTAGAGGTTATTTATTAAAGAGATATCTGTAATAGCAGAAGAGTAGGAACAACCGCTATGGAACGCTCAGAAAAGATGGCAGTCAAACACATGTCAAGATGACACGACAGAATCGGGGGAGAAGGCTGTAGGACAGTGTGGAAGATGAGCTGCTGTGTGTCTAAAGAGGAGAGCGGACTGCTGGTAACCTCGTTCTCACCGCTCCACCTTCCACCATCCTCAGAGAACGTCCTACCGCTGCCCAAGCATGCCCTGCTGGCACTGTGCATTCGCCCCCAGAGCCCTCTACCCTCGCCTCCCTGTTCAGCCTTTAGACATGCCGCATGCAAAGACACATATTGCCTTTTAGTAAAAACAGAAAAAAAATATATACTGTGCATGCACAGTGACTCCCCTCACCCTCTCTCTCAGACAGAGTCTTACTAAGTAGGCCAGGCTGTGCCAGAACCAATCATCCTCTGCCTCTTTTGTGCTGGGACTACAGGTGTGGAACGCCACAGCCAACTACATTTTTTGTTTCACTCTATACCTGCTCATAAAGCAGTATCTTGAGCCAAGCATAGAGGCCCGCACCTGTAATCCCAGCACTCAGGGAGGCAGAGGCAGGCAGATCTCTGTGAGTTCGGGGCCAGCCTGGTCTACAAAGTGAGCCAAGGACAGAGAAACCCTGTTTTGAAAAACCAAAAGACAAAACAAAACAAACACACACACACACACACACACACACACAAATGTATCTCCTATTGCCTAGCGTTGTAGCACACACCTATAAAACCAACATTCAGAAGGCCAGAGGACAGTGAGAGTTAGGACAGGCTGAGCTACAAAACAAGACCCTGTTTCAAAATAAAAAATAATAGACAATGGTCTCCTATTTTATAGCTGTATACTAGTCTACAGAATGGATAAACCGTAACTTACTCTGTCAGAGCCTCACGGGAAGACATTGCCATCGCCTGCCTTTGCTCACGATGCTGCAAAGAGTATTTCATGTTATATCTACAAAATTAAACTCTTGAAAACAACACGGTTTACGGGGAGAGTGACAGAATAGAACACTGAGGGGGTTTTTCCCACTTTATTTCCACCTTTTAAATCTGTAGATGTATACCTACTCAAAAAATTAAAGTATTCTAAAACACAGCTACTGATTAAGCATGGCTTCAATGCCCTCTCCTTTGATCTACTTTTTATAATTAAAGTGATCGTTTTTTAATTTCTTAAGGAAATTTCCATCAGGCAGCCCCGGAGTGCTTTTCGGGGGAAGAACTTTGGGAGAGCAACTGCAGACATTAATCCCAGCTGGCCAGGGAAGCAAGCAGGAGAGATCTCCGCCTTTCAGATGAACACAGGCACCAGAATGGTGCACTGGGTAATATCAGGCCCTGCCAATCCGTTACCTTAGCTCAGAGACAAACGGAGGCCTGGCCTGTTCCTTCTGTCCAGCTGCACCTGCTAGGTGCCAGCCCTCCTCTGAGGCGCTGTAAGGAAAACCCAAAGAAACAGAACTCAGTTCTCAGAGTTTAAAGCAAGCGTCACTTTAAAGAGCGTCTTTAGCAGTCCCTTTCTCCACCCCACCCCCACGTCAAAATCGGCAACTTCAGTGAACACACGTGTTCACTGAAACACATGTATGGAAACACACGTGTTTACTGAAGGGCACTGCGGCTGGCGTCACCTGACGTGGCTCTCCAGTCTCCTGCCTTAGTTATCTCCTGAAGTATCTGCAAACAGATCAGATGCTTACGGAAAGGAACTATGCCTGTCTTCATGCTGTCTTCCCAGCACAGCTGGCTTGGTGGGATGTTTGCTTTCCTCACATACCATCCTTTCAACTAGTTGGGCGTGTTTTCTCGGGTTTGACATGTACCCCGGAAAAGCCGTATGTGCAGAGCTCTCCCGCATCTCGTCCCTGATCAAGCATCCTTAGTGAGGTGCAGCCACATCTTCAAAAAGCATCAAATCTTTTATTACTGCCGTACACAGAGGCAAAGACTTCAGCACCAAAGGTTCTAAATGGCAAGTGGAAGATCACACCACACAGCAGCCGCCCCCAAAAAAACCCTCAGGCGTTTGCAGCCCTTCGCTCTTACTTCTGAACAGATTTCCTCCTAATCTCTTAAAATCAAGCAATGGTCCCATCATGCGTGTAGCTGAATACACACAGTTTACACATACGTGTCATTATCATCGCATAACTGAAATGGATGATTCCACTATGAGATGGACCAGGGGGCCCCCTCTTTGAAATTTCAACCTAACACAGGCTCAGAGGTCCTTTGTCGTCTTTGTTTATTGCATTAAAAGGATTTTGGCTAAAGATGAAATATACTGTGTCCTGGATGTTGGGTACAGGATGCAGAAAACGCCTCCCTAAGATCTAGCCGTAGGCAAGCCTGTAAGGCATTTTCTTAATTGGTGATTGATGGGGGAGGAGCCGCCCATTGTGGGTGGTGCCATCCCTGGGCTGGTGGTCCTGGATTCTCTAAGAAAGCAGGCTGAGCAAGCCATGGGGAGCAAGCCAGTAAGCAGCACCCCTCCATGCCCTCTGCATCAGCTCCTGCCTCCAGGCTCCTGCCCTGTTTGAGTTCCTGCCCCGACTTTCTTCAATGATGGACTAGATGTGGAAGCTGAATAAACCCTTTGCTCTCCAACTTGCTTTTCGGTCATGGTGTTTTGTTTTAGCAAAAGAAACCCTAAGTCATACTGTCTAGCCTGCATGAGTCCCTGTGCTCAACCCCACTCCCCAACAGAGAGAGAGAGAGAGAGAGAGTTGGGGTGTGGCCCTTAGGCATAAACTTGAATAGCAGCCAATTCTACAACTAAAGCCTTGACAAACCCTCTTTAAGACACTGGGAAGGGCTGGCTGGGTATGGAAGCCTGTAATTCTCAGCACCCAAGAGGCTGTGGTAGGAGGATAAGGAGTTTGAAGCCAGTGTTAGCTGACACAGTGCAACAAGATCAGCCCAGAGAGCTGGAGTTCAGTTCCCAGCACACGTGTTGGGTGGCTCTACAAATGCCTATAACCCCAGCTCCAGGAGATGCAACACTGTCTTCAGACCTCCACAGGTATCCTCGCACACATGGCACACACTGACACACACAGATAATAAGATAAAAATCTTTTTTAAAAAAAGGAACGGTAAATTCAGGCCTGGTGGTACATAGCTCCAATCCCACCTACTCCTAAAAGGACTGCAAATTCAAGGCCTGCTGGAGCTATAGAATGCGTTCAAGGCCAGCCTGGGTAACCTCTCAGGACCCTAGCTCAAGAAATAAAAGAAAAAAAAAATGGGTGCAGGGGTGGAGATCGAATGAAAGAGCTTTCCATTTATACAAAGAGGGCATAGTTTCCTTAATTAGCAGTTAATAAAACTTGCAAAAATGTTTGTCTGTTGCCTTTTATGGCCTATTAAGAAGAGGGCATTTGGTCAGAAATGGCTTGTAGAAAACGAAAGAAAGAAAGAAAGAAAGAAAGAAAGAAAGAAAGAAAGAAAGAA